TAAGCAAAGAAAAGATCATCTATGCAATAAATAGTTTCTCCCCCTTTAAATCTCCAGGCCCAGATGGTATAATACCGGCCATGTTACAGAATGTGAAGGAGCACATAGCACCGCTACTTGAAACCCTCTATAGAGCTTGTATTAGTATGAACTATGTCCCCCAGAGCTGGAGACGTGTCAAAGTAGTGTTCATCCCTAAGCCCGGTAGGAAGAACCACGAAACAGCGAACGACTTTAGACCTCTAAGCCTAACTTCCTTTGTTCTTAAAGCACTGGAAAGGCTAATAGATATATATATAAGATCGTTCTTGGGGGAAGAATCCCTATCAACAGCACAACATGCTTACATCAAAGGAAAATCGACGGAGTCAGCTTTGCACGAAGTGGTGGGGCTCATAGAAAACTCACTGCGCTTCAAGCAATACACTTTAGCCGCTTTCCTGGATATCGAGGGCGCCTTCAACAACCTTGAAGTTGACACCATCATCCAATCACTCATGGGGGTTGGTGTTGACGGCGGTGTGGTTGACTGGGTACGCTCCATGCTAGAAAGCAGAATTATTCAGGCGAAAAGCGGAGATAGTCTAATAACTAGATATGTGCGTAGTGGTACTCCCCAGGGTGGTGTACTCTACCCACTGTTATGGGTTGTAGCACTAAACAGCATACTGCTAGAACTCAACAGAGGTGGAGTTAAAGTAGTGGCGTATGCTGACGACGTAGTGATAGCAGTCACAGGACCTTTTCTCTCTACTGTAAGTGAAATTCTAGGAAAAGCGCTGGGTAGACTACACACGTGGGCTAAAGGCAGTGGCCTTAACGTAAATCCAGACAAAACTGAGTTGTTACTGTTTAGACTTCCATCCATAGGCGGGAAGACAATCCCCCTATCGTCCAACGCAAAATATCTGGGAGTAATTCTAGACACCAAACTAAACTGGAAAATTAACGTTGAGAAACGTAAAAAGAGGGCTAACATCGCTTATTATACTTGTAAACGGATCTTCAATAGAAACTGGGGTTTAAAACCGAAACTTGTGATGTGGATGTACACCGCTATCATAAGGCCGATCCTAACCTACGGCGCCCTAGTGTGGTGGCCTGCCTTAGACAAACAATACAATGTCAGCAAACTAAATAGCTTACAAAGAGCGGCATGCTCGGGGACAACTGGGGCACTGAAATCCTGCCCTTCAGAAGCACTGAATGTAATCCTCAATATGATGCCCATTGATCTATGCCTAAAGGAAGCCGCGATGTACTCAGCATTAAGACTCAGAGAGTCGGGGCTGTGGGGATCGAGAACCTTTGGGCATAGCTCAATCTTAGGCCTCACTTCGATAGGAAATAAAACCACGGACTATATGGTATCAACCCTCGATTTTGGCTTGAATGTACAAGTATGGTTTCCATCCAGAATGGAATGGAAAAGGGGCCAAGCTGCCGATAGGGAAGCCATCTGTATCTACACTGACGGGTCCAAGATGGACTGCGGTGTAGGGACAGGGGTATATTCCGAGGAGCTTGGTGTCAATAGGTCCCTCCGGTTGGAAAACCATGCTAGCATATTTCAAGCTGAAGTTCTGGGCATTTGTGAAGCCTGTAGGATACTAAGGAATAGCGCTACTAGGAAAGAAAGAGCGGTTATTTACTCGGATAGCCAGGCAGCACTCCTGGCTATATCATCCACTGTAACCAAGTCCAAGCTAGTCAAGGAATGCAAGATGGAGTTACGCTCAGCGTCTCAGTCAATGTCCATCTCTCTTGTCTGGGTTCCCGGCCATAGGAACATAGAAGGCAACGAGAGAGCAGACGAACTGGCCAGGGCGGGAGCTTGTTTGGATGAATCTGTAGCGGTGATACTGGGTTATCCCCTCAGACGAATACAAACAGAAATCCACTTGCATCTTCTGAAACTGGCAAGGAGGAGGTGGTCAAAGATTCAAACTTGCAAGATAGCACGAGATCTTTGGCCTGACTTCAGCAGGGAAAGAACAGCAGAACTGCTAAGTAGGTCAAGAGTAGAAGTATTTAGAATTGTATCGACTATCACCGGTCACTGGCCGCTAGGAAAACATGCATGTAGAATAGGTCTTCCATACAACAGAATATGCCGCAGCTGCGGCTTGGATGGCAGCGAAGAAACAGTATTTCATTTCCTGTGTGAATGCCCAGGCCTGGTTCACTTAAGACATAAATCTTTCGGGAAACACATAGTGGAGCAGTTAACGGATCTATCTAGTGCTACAATAGGCGACTTATACAAATTTATAAGCGGTTCTAAATGGTTTGACTGAACCGCTGGAATGTTCTGACAGGTAGGCTACGGCATAATAAAATATCATTGTCCACGAGAAGTGCACCAAAATGGCGCTTTTATGCGCTAATTGTTTCCTGAGCGATAGCTTAGGTAGCACTACAACCAAGCAACCAACCATTTAGCTACGTAAGCATTTAGTTTGCATAAAAACGTAATCATTAATTCAATAAAGATCACTTGAAAGCAATCAAGCAAACAACAGTGTTCGAAATTGGCGAACAGCTTAAAAAAGGCCAGTGCAGCAGTTTGAGGAGCCACAAAACTAATCTAAAAGAAGAAAAATGGATCGTTTCGAGGTTTTGGCCAGACAACAAAGAGAAACGGGCGGCAATATCGAATCAATTGTCCGAAACTTTAAAAAGGACCAGCAATCCAGGAAGCAGTCAATCAGCTATTACGAAGAGCGATTGAGAAGACTGGACAGCGAGTGGTCGAAGTTTGAAACAACTGACAACAAACTTCGACTGCTTGAAAACCCCCAGCTGGATCACGACTACTTTACAAAGGACTACTATAACAATATAATGGAAATTGTAAATTAGTACAAGGAGATTTTCGAGTCCGCAGTGCTCCAATTGGCTCAAACCCCGACGAGAGAATTGCGCTTAACAACTGATGAAGGAAGTACGTACCAACATGATGCTTCAGCTTCAAAAGTCAACACAGAAGCACGGCATGATACTGGAACCAAACATGCAGCTTCCAACGAGTACACTAAACTAGTTCGCAGACAAGGGGTAATGATGGCCTCGTTGCGACGGTTACTGAACGACAACGTTTCACCACAATGTGTTCCAACAATTAATAAACTGTGGGAAAATATAGAAGACATTCACTTCAGGATATATGAGATGTTCGACAACCCAACCGAGCAGGACTTCAAGGTCGATAACTTCATTTCACTTGAGGAAAAGGTATGGAGTACTTTGCAAGCAGCTAATAGTGACTCCCATACTGAGCAATCTTCAAACCTACTTCCGATTAAACTACAATCCATTTCATTGCCGAAGATAATAATTCCAAAATTCGATGGCACCTATTTAAAATGGCAAGGATTTCATGACCTATTCTCGCAACTGGTAATAAATCAACCTCTTTCAAAAGTTCAGAAAATGTGGTACTTGAAAACTCACTCAGTGGGGGAGGCTGGAAATCTAATTAAACATTTCGCATCAACAGGAGAGAATTTTTATGCAGCTTGGTTCATGCTTCTGGAGCGTTACAACAACAAACGCTTGCTGGTGAGCAAGTTAGTACATGAGCTAACTACTACACCTGGAAGCACATCAATGGACAATGTCAAAAAAACTGCATGACACAACACAAGAATGTCTATTAGCATTGCAAAATTTGCAGATAGACACATAAACATGGGATCCACTTCTGCTCCCCCTTCTACTAAAGAAACTGGATCAACCGACTCGTTTGCGGTACGAACAATCATTATCAAAGCCACGGGAGGTACAAACACTCAAGGAATTCCTGCAATTTCTGGAGAAACACTTTCAATCCATGGAAGCGATGGGTGTCAAAGACAAATCTACAAGCGCAACTGCAAAGGTGTGCACTTCAGTCACATCCAAAGGTCATAGAAATGACACTTGCAGCATGTGCAAAAAAGGAAAACATCCATTATTTTCTTGCAAGGAATTTTTACAACAGTCTCCATCGGCACGCTTTCAGTTCATACAAGGGCAGAAATATTGCCACAATTGCCTAAAACCGGGGCATGGTTCTAAAAATTGTCTATTAAGAAACTGTCTGGAATGCAACAAATAAACATAACACGCTGTTACATTTCGAGGATTCAAAAAGGGATGTGAGCAAAGACATTACATCAGTAGCCACTCCAACACAAGGCAACGAATCGCAAAGTACTACACCATCCAGGACCAAATCCACGCCATCAAAAGACGAAGCAGCGTCACTTACCACCGCAAAGCACACAAAGTCAAACACATATGTACTACTCAGTACTGCCATGGTGAAAGTTAGAGGAATGGGAACAGAAGTGCAGTGTCGGGCAATTCTCAATTCAGACTCACAAGTTAATTTTGTGACTGAACGATTGGTTAAACGTCTTGGCATCTCAACTAAACCATCACCAATCTCCATTAGTGGCATCGAGTCAAGGAGCACTAAGATACAGCATCGAGTCAATGTGGCGCTACAGTCTCGGATCAACAACTTTACAACGCGGCTAGAGGCATTGCCTCAGATTATATCCCCGCAGCCGTCGCAAGAAATCTAGATCGACGAATGGCAAATTCCTGAGAACATCATGTTAGCCGATCCATCATTCAATCGCCGTGACAAAATTGATATATTGTTGGGGGCGGAATTCTACAATCAACTGATGGCAGCAGGGCAAATAAAACTGTCAGATGACCTACCCATTCTGCAAAATACAGTGCTGGGATGGATCATCGCGGGAAAAGTTGGTGGCAACTACATCTCAAATGCAATATGTGGAATCTGTACCAACGATGACATCAACTTAGATGCAGCCATTGCTAGATTATGGGAACTTGATGTTGCAACTGTAAGAAAACAACATTCCGTAGCAGAAAAACAGTGCGAAGCTCATTTCGCACAACATACACTCATCAATTAAAATGGGAGATTCATGGTAAGGCTACCATTTCATGAAAATCCGGAGGCCTTAGGGGAATCCTATGGGATGGCGTATAATCGATTCCTGGCCTTAGAACGTCGACTGGCAAAATCGCTCCAGACAAAGAATCAATATGTACAATTTATGGAGGAATATGAGAACTTGGGGCACATGACGCGAGTGGATATTGATTCCATCAGCAAACCTAGGTACTTCATTCCTCACCATTGCATTGTGAGACCCGAAAGCCGCACTACAAAATTACGTGTGGTATTCGACGCATCAGCAAAATCGTCCACTGGCATGTCTTTGAACGACCTCATGTATACCGGACCCACTGTTCAGAGCGAGCTTTTCACCATTTTACTTCGCTTCCGTTTGCCCAGGTTCGTCTTCACCACAGATGTAGAAAAAATGTATCGACAGATGCTCATTCAACCGGACGAACGCAAATTCCAACTTATCATCTGGCGAGAGGATTCAAGCCTACCAATAAAGCATTATCAGCTAAATACAATCACACATGGGACAAGATCTGCTCCATATTTAGCACCTAAATGTTTGCAGAAAATTGCAAAAGAAAATGCATTACAATATCCTCTTGGTGCTCAGTTTCTACAGGACAATTTTTATGTAGATGACGGAATTGGTGGGTCAGACAGCTTAACCACGACGATGGAAATCCAACAGCAACTGATACACACCTTAAAACAACGTGGTCTTAACCTAAGAAAATGGTGCGCCAATCACTCACAATTACTGCAAAATGTTAGCATGGAGGAACAAGAAGTTGACATAGACTTTGACAATGACATCAATCAAAGTATTAAAACGTTGGGGTTAACATGGATGCCTAAGATGGATCGATTCTGCGTAAAGGTACGCCTAGGAAGCTGCAGTCTTGCAACTAAACGCTCAGTCAGCGCCGATCTTGCAAGGCTCTTCGATCCGTTGGGGATACTAGCACCAATTGTAGTCATGGCAAAAATGTTTATTCAAGATCTCTGGCAACTGAAGCTGACATGGGATGAAGCATTACCAGCCGATTTGAATGAGAGATGGACAACATTTCGAAATGATTTGCAAAAATTGGACAACATGCAAGTTTCACGGCACGTGTTTGAAGGATACATCCCAGCAAAAATTCAAATTCATGTCTTCTCCGACGCATCAGAAAAGGCATATGGTGCTGCGATTTACATTAGATCCGAGCTGGATGAGGGACGAGTACAAGTGAGGCTGCTCTGTGCAAAATCTCGTGTGGCACCCTTGAAACTGCAAACTATTCCTCGGCTTGAGCTCTGTACATCAGTACTGGGTACTCAACTTACTACAAGGGTCAAATCAGACCTTAAGCTAGACGATGTGGCTACATACTTTTGGACTGATTCACAAATCGTGTTGGCATGAATTAACTCATCCTCAGCATCATACCAAACATTTGTGGCAAACCGTATAGCTGTTATTCATGAGCACACTACCGCTGAACAATGCCGGCATATAAGCTCAAAAGACAACCCAGCTGACATTCTAGCACGAGGACTGCCGCCGGGAGACTAGAAACCTGCAATATGTGGTTTTATGGGCCAACCATCTTGCTTGGTAAAGAAGACACTTGGCCTTCAAAGTATTCCAAGGCATTATCAGTAATCGACGAAGGTATCAACATGGAACGGAAAGGGGTGACATCAGTCGCTGTTGCAACCACTGTACATGAAGGAAGAGTACTTTATAGCATTCGAAACAATGGCTCTTTCAAAACATTACAAAGAGTGACAGGCTACATGCTGAGATTTATCAACCCGGCCAGAAACCAATCGCGGGAGTCAGACATTCCCTTGACCGTACACGAATTGGAAAAAGCGCTTGTGGTAATCGTTCGTACATTGCAGCAATCGGACTTTGAGGAAGAGCTTCAGCACCTTAACAAATACAACGAAGTTCGCAAAAACAGTTCTTTCCGCAGCCTGTCACCGTTTCTGGGCAATAATGGTATCATCCGAGTTGGAGGGCGTCTACAAGCATCAGAAGTTGCATACGATGCCAAACACCCTATGCTAATTCCACATAACAATTCCCTCGCCAAATTATTAGTACAAATGATCCATAAAGAAAACCGTCATTGTGGACCTCAAGCGCTCTTAGCTTATACAAGGCAAAGATTTTGGCCTATAAAGGGAAAATTGCTGACACGATCAATTGTGCTCAACTGTGTAAGATGCACCAAAGCTAAGCCAAAACTAATGAGTCAAATTATGGGGAACTTGCCTTCAACAATAGTAACTCCAGCAAGACCATTCATCAACTCAGGCGTGGACTTCTGCGGGCCATTTTGGGTTCACTTCATGATAAGGGGAAAGAAACCACAAAAGGCCTATGTAGCGGTATTTTTCTGTTTTGCCACAAAGGCAGTGCATTTGGAATTAGTCAGCGACTTAACGACGGATGCATTTATCGGTGCCTTGAAACGATTTATAAGCCGAAGAGGACATTGTCAAAATTTATATTGTGACAACGCAACCAATTTTGTAGGCGCGAAAAACCCGCTTTCTGAACTCACTGACGTTGTTTATGGAAATTCATCACGAGAATCAATAGTAAAGCAGTGCAGCGGAAATGGAATAACATTTCATTTTATACCTCCTAGGACTCTACATTTTGGCGGTTTATGGGAAGCAGCGGTAAAATCAGCTAAGAATCTACTAATAAGAAGCACCTCGACAGCGTCCTTAACGTATGAAGAATTGGACACGGTAATCATCGAGGTGGAAGGAATCCTAAATTCCAGACCAATGAGCCCAATGTCCGACAATCCTAACGATCTAACAGCTTTAACTCCAGGCCACTTCCTCATAGGAGAACTCCTTAATGCCCAAGTTGATCCAACGTGTAGGCCACAGCAAACAAATTTATTAACAAGATTGAAACTTGTTTCTCACCTCAAACGCGAGTTTTGGAATCGGTGGTCCCGCGAATATTTATCGGACCTTCAGGTGCGAAATAAGTGGCAGACACAACACAACAACATCAACGTAGGTGACATGGTGATCATCAAAAAAGACAACACACCGGTACTGCAGTGGCCATTAGGAAGAATCGTCAATGTATATGAAGGAAACGACGGTGTAGTGAGAGTGGCTGATGTAAAAACTGCTAGTGGCACTTGCAAGAGGCCCATTCATCGGCTTGCACCCTTGCCCAAGGAAACAAATGATGCCACAGAACGACAATCAACCAACAACCTGCTTGAGGAAGACAAAATTCCATCAAGTCCTTACACCAAGGACTTGCTACACTTCTGATTACCCTACTCATCTTACCACTGGCTTTAGGTGCTGAATTTCAAAATAAGCGATTTGGATCAAGGCTTGGCATTCATTTTGAAGGAATAGGCTCATCATCCATATTAACCACTGATAGGAACCTAATAATCTACTATGACATGGAAGGATTTTTGGTAGAACTAGCAGCGCTGTCGAATGGCACAAGGGCCCTGCACTATTTATGTCAAGAAAACACACAAAAAAGCTCATGTCTTTCTCTGGTAGCACATCTTGAACAGACTGAAAAAGAGTTGCAGCTAGATTACGCAATAGTAAAATCTAATCGGCGTAAACGAGGTGCCATTGATGCAGTTGGAAATATCGCTTATTCTTTGTTTGGAGTCCTGGACGCAGAATATGCAGAACAAATGTCCAAAACAATCACACACGGTAAGTAAAATGAACTACATCTGCTGCACCTGATCAGAAATCAAACATCCATTGTGGACTCAACCATCAACATTTTGAAACAAGATCAAAAAGCGGTCAAGAGGAAGTTCGACATCATTGACCAACAAGTGAGTCAAATATTCCAGAGGATCAGCAACGACACGCATGAGATATACCAAGAAAAATTATTTCGAATCTTTTCCTCGTTATCCATCCAACTCACACTTGTGGCAGCCAATTTGCAAAGAATGCAATCTGCAATATTAGCCGTTCTAATAGATACTCATCACGGAAAAATAAGACCTCTTCTGCCGACGCCCAGCCAATTGCAAGACGAAGTAAACAAAATTAAACTTCACTTATCAGCACCATTGGAACTGCCTGTAAACCAAGAAGATTTACTTCAGCTATACCAACTCATGACGGTTAAGGGAGGACTTACAGAAAAGCATGTTGTATTCAGCATCACATTGCCTCTGGTAGAGCATGCTCGATATGACTTATTCAATCTGCTACCAATTCCTACTTGGACTAATGGGACTATGATTGAAATAAGTCCGTGTGCTGCAGTTTTGGCAATAAACACAGCTCTCGGTCAATATTTCCCGCTGAGTGTCTCCAAATTTCAATCTTGTGTGGATATTAAAAATGGAAATTACATCTGTTCTAAAATTCAAATTCGTTATAGTCACGGTTCATCTAAATGCGCATGTGAAGTAAATTTATTCAACAACAACACCCAGTCAAGTTGTCAACTGCGAAAAACACCAAACGATGTTGCATGGATATCACTACAGCATAAAAATCAATGGATTTATGCCACGTCAGTTTCATCTCGTGCAACCGCAGTATGTGGAAAAGAAATCATTCAGGTGATTCTAAAAGGATCAGGACTGTTATCACTCCAACCAGACTGCATACTCAAACATAATTTTATATCAGTTCAAGCAGATCAGTTGATATCGACGAGTCTTTGCTCGTCCTACACTAGCCTGGGAGAAATTTCCGAGGTAGCAGCAGCAGAACATATAAAGCCTCTTCTTCAATCACGGGATGATGAGAAATACATAACTCAAATACAAAACCTCACGTCGTTACAATCATCATTGGCCAATCAACGCATATTAGAACTCCCAAACAAACTTGAAGCACAAAATGCGCACCACATAACAGTTGGTACACTGTCTTGGTTACAGTTTTGTGCCTTTTGGTGTTCATGCTAGTCAAAAGAAAATTTAAAACAGCCAAACAGGAAACATTGCACGCATCCACGACTGCGACCACATCCGGTCAAAATGAAAAACCCACACCTGCGCCTCGACATTCTCATGGAAGTTTGGACTTTACGATAAACATTTAGGACAGAACCTGCTAAGGAATTCGAGCTGCGCTCACCGGGGGGAGGATGTTATTAAATAAGAAAAGTCGACATATTAATATTGCATCGGCTTTATTCTACAGGGTATTAATTTTCGCTTGCATTCTTTTATGCGTAGCTTGCACTTTATGCCTTTTAGTGTATTCTTATAGCCAAATAATTCGGCATGTGTCAAGTTACATATAAGACATTGTTGATTAATGCACGCATTGCTTAATAGACGCAAAATGTGGAATATGCTTATGTCAACAAAAACGTGGGAATAAAGCATTTGCATTAATTATGCTTATGTAAACCAAAACGTAGGAATAAAGCCTTTACAATAATTTTGCTTACGATCTAAAGTTTTTATGCCCTTATTATTTAGCTACGTAAGCATTTAGTTTGTATAAAAACGTAATCATTAATTCAATAAAGATCACTTGAAAGCAATCAAGCAAACAACAGTGTTCGAACTTGGCGTAATCGCTATTATTCTGAACAGTTAGGTTATTGAACAAAGAACAATCAGCTGTCTCTTTCTGGTCCACTTTTACAGCTGATATGACATCAGGGGTGGAAAACTGAATTATAAAATTGTACATAATTTAAGGAAAACTTTACCTAAAAGTAGATAAATGTACCTAAAAAGTAAATATGTATTTTTCTATATAAAGCAAATAGGAGGATAACAATTCCCATCGATACCATATAAACTTCTGTACTCACATTAAACAAATTTTGGCTATGAAAAGAATATCTTCGAGCAGCGCGAGACAAAACTATGATGTTGAAAAGGTGAATCACTTTCCTCCCAGTTCTTCGATCCGACGTTTTAAAAAGAAATATTTTCCTTCTATCTGTCGAAATCAACTACAGTTGCGTTACTTTGACCACCCTTTTGTATCATTTGTATGCTCCTTCACGAACGAGGTAAGCTATTAGACCAGTTGCTCGCACCAGAAAATGCATTGAAATATCAATAAAAATAAGAACTGATTTCCTGAGAAGTTATATGGCTACGTTCCAAATGTACCTAAAACTGTGTTTTGTACCGAATGTACTTTCAAACTAAATAAAGGTACAATTGTACCAACTTATCCATCATTGTAGGTAATCCAGCTAATTGCGCAGCTGACGTGTGTGTGAACACATTGCCTCAGCTAATTGGCCTGTTAGTCTAAGCTTTAAAATTTGCAAATTTTCGGTCTAGTGTACATATGTGTACGTGTGCTCGGGCTATAGGTTAGTTTTCGCTGTCTGTCGGGATGTTATTACCGGACAGAATGTTTGCCCTGATAAATACAGGCTTCAAATACTATAATGCGTAAAATAATAAAACTTCAGATTTGTTAAAACACTTTTGATGTTTTTTTTACATTCAATAGTATCTGCCATGATCTCAAAACTGCCATAATAGTCAGCCATTATTATATTCGAATAAAAATAACAATAAATGTTAAAATACTTAACTGGAAGACTTTTTTAAAATACTTTCGAAGTTGGTCTAAGTTTTCTACTTTTGCAACCTGCGTGACGCCGTATGGACCGTTTCCGGACTTAGTTAGTCTCCCTTCCAAGTAGACTGAACAAAAATTCAGCTTTGGTAAATTACATGCAGTCTTCCGTTCACTGGCTCTTAGACTAACACATTCATTTTGTAAATTTAATTCTAAATAACAAAATTTATTTTTGTTAACATAATTACAAGGAGACAGGTGACAAGATCAACGGAAATAAAGTCAATTGACGCTATTACCCATACTGGTGCGAAATAAAGTCAATTGACATTATTACCATTTCAAAAGCGAAATAAGGTCAACAAAAATTTGGAAATAAATTAAATGATGCTATTTCCTAATTCAAATGGAAATAGCGTCAACAATGCATAAAGTATGTCGGTTAAAGCTGATGCCACATAAAACTTTTGCTTCGCTTTACGTGACAGATTCGCTTTGACAGATAAGATGAAAATCTACAAAGCACGCCACATAGATAGTTGAAGCTGCAACGCTAACCGCAAAGAGGGCCAACTCCCAACTTTTTGCGCGCTTTGACAATCAACCGGTTTAATATTTATTTTGTTTCGTCCAAATTCGAGTTTTCATGTAGAAACATAAAATTTAATTTCATTGCTTATATTTTTAAAGCAAAATATATAAAATCCACAGCAATTTTGACGAGTAAAACTGCAGTACAAAATTGTTTTCTTGGCGTTCATTGTGGCATACCTTTTGCGTGTGGCGCTTCGCTGGCAAAGTTATAAATGTCACGCAAAGCTACAAAGTTTTATCCATGATAACCAAACAATTTAATTTTTAAATTTACTCACAAACTCACACACACATTTTCATTTTCAATCTCAACCCAGCCAGCAAGAAAACGTACATTTTACGAACATTATGTTTTACGAGGGATTCTCGTATCGCCAAATAGTTAGAGAAAAGCTCGTAAACCATAAAACAAAAAAAATATAATAGAAAGAGGCTTGTAGTAATTTGTCAGCACAAGAAAAAATTTTAGTTTTGTTGACAATTTTTCTTCAATCACAATATTTTATAAGTAGTTTGTTAAATATTCAATTTAAGAAAATTATTAAGTATGTGATTTATTGGCAGACTGGTGCAAACGCCAAGGACGATCTACCACTTTCTTTTATAATTAAACTTCTTGTAAGTAGCTACTACATATGTAATTCCAAAATACAAATTAATTTAACGAGTTTTGCAATTCTTTCACAGGCTGCGCGGAGTAACACTAAAGGATTTAAACGTTTAATTCCCCTATCTCGTAAGTTTATAGTTATTTATTTTTTTTTAATTTGCTAGTTTATTAGGTCTTTGCAGTTATTGAACTTAATGTTTTATTGATAATATGGCTTCTCAATTAAAAAGGCGTGCGAAATCCGAAGCCTTATCCGTACTAGCGTCAATAAATGATCCATTAAAAAAAAATTATTACAGATGAGGTAGCAAAACTTTTCTCGTGGAAGGGAACTGGTACCAAAAGCAGCGCTATTGGCTTGGCAACGACTGCGGCAATAAGAAGTACGGATCATAATATTATTTATTACCACTTTTTACTTAATTAAATTTTCCGGTTTCCAATGGAGTTTAATCTTTCACTTTATTTTCTTAGGTGCTTTTCGTCAAAAATTTAACTCCCACGAAGAAGTTTTTATTTCCGTATCAAAGAAGCACTTCCAATATGCACACGACCGGCAAAAAAAATT